GTCAGGTATGAAGGTTGTACCGAAGTAAAAGTCAGACTTATTTTTGCTGGCAAATTCGCTTTATGGAGTAATTTTTATCTGCTCTGGATCTACTCGCAACTCTTATTTTGACTTCTTGAAGGTAATTGACTTAAAATGGCTCCGATCAACCTTTTTTTTTGGAACATGCCGCCTAGAACCTTTGATACTTACCTGCATGAAGCAAACTCAGAATAATATCGTTAGGTTGCGGTCACCGTGACCTCCTGAAGGTGAAATCCGAGCACTGGCCTGAGATGAACATCAATGATCTTTTGTCTATAACAGATAACTAGGGTAGAGGTGGACGCGTGATGAGGTCTAGGGGCGCATCGGACACCGATGTGGACTTCAACCTTTTGTTTAACCTTATTTGACCCAAAATCATGATCTATAGGCCTCGAAATTCAAGACAAGTGAGCTCACATGCAGACCTACCTACCCGGGGAATTTGGTGTCTTTAACTCTCTTAGATTTTTTCTAAATCTCAGAGGGTTGCATTGCCCCCCCCCCCCCCCCCCCCCACCCCTCCACCGTCCGAGCGCGTAGCAGTGGACGGTCACCCAGGCGTGTATTGAGCGTTCTAACAACCCTCAGAAATACGTTTATGTGACACATGCACGGTATGTGTTCGTTGCCAAGTTTTTGCAGCAGTGTACGCAATGTTTTGGATTTTGTAATCGAGGCTTAGTTACTTTTTATAACAGCATTGTTGACGGCGGTTGAAGTGAAACGGAAACATACGAGTCCTATAACTTGATGTCATCTGCTGCTGAGAATGCAAACATCTAACATGATTAGATGCATTCAGTAAGTTCTTAAAGACAGTTATATTCGGATCGGTTAGGTTTTTCATGGTGAGTGTAGTGACTGGTTTCAGTGACATTTACTCCATCTTCGGTCTTGCAAATACTACAAGTGATGACAACAAGTGTTCTCTGATGTGTAATCAGATGTGGGCGGTGGAGTGCGCCTTAAACACACACCCAACGGGGAATGAAGACATTTCACGTGTAGTTCCCTTCCCGGGGCTTAGTCGTAATACGTAAGCTTAGGTTTAGGTTGGAGTTTATAGCCGGTCACATAATGGAGGATCGAGCAGAGCAATGAGCGGTCTTAGCCCGCCCGGCATCAGCCAGTGCCGTCAACCAATCAAGTCGCTGTCAACACCCAGCCACCGCGGGTAGACCGGACGAAACATCAAGAAATGCATTGTCCCTTCGAAGGTTTTAAGCCTAAATGAGACGTACCTTCGTTACATGTCATAGATGCGATTGTCCGATGAGCGATGGCATGGTATATAGGGGAGGTAAATTGGCCTGCTGAAACATAGACCATTTCACACTTTTGAAACGGAAGCAGATGCAACGATCAACAAACGCAGACCCACCAGCCGGGCCAAACAGTATTTTCAGCACCTTTTGGGCTTTGAATCTGCTGCTGGACATCGCGTACCCATCCCAGAAATCGTCACTGCGGAGCGACTTGGCACGTGCCGGGCGACGCTCGAGCCAAATCGACCTCGCCAGCAGCCACTGGCCGCCGAGATGTCGAACTCAGTGACGTCAGACGGCTATTCTGGTGTCCCCAGCCGCCGTCCGGACCGATGTCAAGTCCAACTGTTTCGCCTAAAACAGAAGACGGATGCTCCGGCCGCGCGTTTGGACCATCCGAAACGCGATGTGTTTGTAGAAAACCGAGCCTGGCAGCGGACGTTAGGCCCTGAAAAAGAACACTTAAGATGGAGCAGTCTCGGGCCGTTTTCGGGAGCACGATCGTTCCTTTCAGCACAGTGTCAGCGGCACCAGCCGGCACAGTTAGTGAGGAGGCTATCTGCACTACTCAGGCACAACCAGAGCATTCCGGAAGTCCAGGGGATTTCTAAGCTATCCTGTTCCGGGAACATCTAACGTATTGATAAAATGCACCGACATTCATGATATGTGAAATGGAATGTACCGATCGCGTTGCATGATGGAATGGCTGCCCCAAGTGCTTAAGCGCAGTAATTTCGCGATGTAGCGCTGAAACCAGTGCCTTTTGTGTAAGCTAGGCTCTCATATCAGTCTTTTCTTGTTCTCTCGTGTGTCTCAAAAATAGGGCGGAGGAGACAGCGAAGAGGGATTGAAGAGGCCAGTAGAAGGAAGAAGGTTGAGGGGAGCTGCGGTGGACGGTAGGCCTCCGCGCAGAGGACAAAGGACTGGCCCGGTACCAAAAACGACACTCAGGGCAGGGCTGAAAGCATCATCAGATGGCAAGGCGGCGTTAAGCAAACAACAGAAATGGCCTGCACTGCTGACCACAAACAATCTGATGCACTCGTGGGCCGAGTGGGCTGTTATGTGGACGCTGACAATGTTGCGATGGGACCTGTTTGTTCGGGTCCGAATGGAACGCATGTGCTCTGCCCTTGCATCTGGCACATGGCGATTGATCGCTCACGGCATATATATTTTGCTTTAGATTTTATGAGATTGATTACGTTGGATTGGTCACGGTATATTATAAGGCATTCAATCGCGTCTCCAGGGCAGTCGACAGACGTTCAGTATAGTGGCATGGTCTCCGCAGTCAAAGTGCCGCTCAAACAGCAAGCTTCGAAAAATTATGGGCTTGAATTGGAAGATTAAGAACCAATGACATGCGCCAATCGCTTTCGTCTTCTTACAAAGGAACTGTCTTGAAATTCTAAAAAGCCAGATGGGAAAGAAAAAAAAGCCTAGCTGATTAGGAAATAAATAAATTGAAGCGCGTGCGGACTGCACAACAAAGACGCTGCTATTCCCCTCGACAGAATACCATTGGCAAATTCAAATTCAGGGGAGTGTATGAAAGCGTTTGCCCGCGGTCGATCAGTCTGATGTGAGTGCCTCCGCCGCCTAGCGGTTAAAAGGAACGCTCCTGGAAAAATTCCGAACAGGTCTGGGCGCGTGCGTCGAATTCGTATCAGCGGCGTCAGAGGCCCAGCTGGCCTGCCTGGGACCACGACAGAACTTCCACTGGAGCGACCTAGTGTGGCCCGGTCACTGACGTTTTCCCGAAACTCAAATCTTTTTGTAACTACCCGTCGCATCTTCATGCAGTTTCAAGTTGCAAGAAATGGGGTTTCTGCAGTGATGCACTTCGAGGCGTTTGCAAATTTCCTGCAACATTGAAATTTAAACAAAATGAAGACCTCTCAACTCATGTTGGAAAACGCACTGATGATGCTGGATATCTGTTTACATTGGGTCAAGACACGTGGTTAGAGAAACGTCCGTAGAATACCAGATAATGTTTACTCGGCTTTTTCTGTTGTCTTTAATCGCTGTGATGTAACCAGCCAACGGGTCTAACTTTGTACGAGTTTGACATCTGTGACATTTATTCAGATCAGGGGCGCGGTTAAGATTGTATGCGTGTGGGGGAGGGGAGGGTGGTCGGAGACGCAGGACAACGGAGACTGAGTCTCCCTGAGCCCTGCCCGGAGGCAGGGGCGCAGCGGGAGGCAATTTCTGGCTCCCTGCCGGGAGCCTCTGTCGTGAAAAAAGAAAAAAATCCGTGCGTGAGGATGGCGAGGGGAGGGAGTCCTGGCTGCTTTCCTGACTCAAATGCATGGGAGCGATGTTTTTGCGTCAGGGGATGCAACATCCTGAACGTTTCAGAAAATGGTGCTTTAACGTGCATCCAGACGCATCCGGTTGAATACCCTTCGCTCGGGAGGGGTCAATTCGCCCCCTAAGATCTCCAACACTAAGAGAGTTAAAAACGCCAAACTCACAGAGCTTGTTTGCCTGTATGTAAAATCACCTGTCAAAATTTAAGGTACCTGGGTCATGGCTTTAGAGTCAAATAAGGTCGAAATGGTCAAACTCAAGATGGCGTCCAGAGTGCCACCGAACCTCCTCCTGCAGCCGCCTTGAACACAGATACCTGTTTTGAGAACAAGGTCGCTGGTATTCACGCAAGGTCAGTGGCTTTGTTCGACCTTTAAATAGCCATAGTAACAAAATGCCTGCGAGGACTACTTTGAGTTTTGAATTTGAATGGGACGTTATATAATATTAATTATAAATAAAGCGTTAACGATTACGCTAGGGGGTACATTGCTAAGAACAAGACTTGATCTGGGCCTTTTAAGGTCAATGACCTACTCTAACCTTGAAGAAGTCCATGGGTAATGTCTGCTGCGGCCCCTTTTATCAAAAAGTTCGAAATGAGCACCAGAAACTACCTCAGAAATCGAGCTTTCCAGCAAAAAAACCAGGTTGGTTCTGGCCTCAGTCTGACCCTCATGCCTGACCCAGGTCAATACAGTTTGTTGTAAGCCTAATTCCAATTGTTTTATTATCTAAGGAAATATCTCAAAGATGTATCGCTTCGTCTGGCACTCCGCTGTCGCATCAGATTGAACGATTCCTAAAAATTCCTTCCCCGACAGTCACGGCCTGACTTTCACTTGCCGTAGGCCAGCGACCTTTCAAGGTGCGTCTATTTTTATATCAAACGATCCGTTATTCAGTTGCCCACAACTGTTCAAAATTTGGCGCAGGCACGCCGCGCGGTTCGTAAACTATTTTGTATAAACCTGAGGGGAGGGGGGGGGGGGGGGCAAAATGACACATTCACCTGAGCGCGTGTTAATGTAAGGCATTGGTACCAGTATGTGCCCCACAAAGTCCTTTCGCTCTTGGGCAATGTGTTCCGTTCATGTTCAGTCTGCTGTGTTAAAGGGTCGGGTTGCCACGCCATGAGTGCAGTCTGCGCCTGGCGAGCGCTGAACGATGGTAATTTCATTCGGGTCGATCCCACGCGGCCGCGCCCGGGGCGTTCACCGCTTCCTGCCGCCCCTCTGCCCATGCCCCTCCCCCTCTCGGCCGCGGCGGGCCAGCGCGCCGGACGCGTTCAGTCAGGGGGCGGGGGAGGGGGAGGGGAGGGCGCGCGCCCGCCGCACTCGGGCGGGCGGGCCGCCTGGCGCGGCAGTGCGAGGGCGGCGGTGGGGCGGTTGGTGGGCGGCAGGCGTGTGCGGCTTCGGAGCGGCATCCGGACAGGCGGCCGACGCTGGCATGTGAGCGGCAGCCGACGCCAGCAGACGCACGCTATCTGCCAGCCCATCCGACGGACGTCCGGGCGCAGAAGCAAGCCCGGCTCCTTGGCGCGAGCATTTCGGTATTCGCGCGCCGTCTCTTCCTAGTGCGCTGGTGCTAGGTAAGTCAGCCGGGGGCGGCGACGTGCTTCATAATCGCTTCATAATCGTGTGCACAGTAATGACGGCATGGTTGCCGTACTGTTAGGGTTTTGTGGAGTGCATATCACTGTAACCAAAATTTTGCTATGCGCTCGATGCTTCGATGCAAACACTGTTATGGGGTCGTGCTTACAGTAAGGCCTGCCTTAGCTCAGAAGTTAGTTCATTCGCGGGTGGGCGTGTCTGAACAGTGACGATGGACCCCCGAGAGTCCACGGCAATGATTGGGCGAGCTCAGTTTTACACTGTCGCTTTCCATGCAACGGCACTGGGTCAATACTGAATCTGTCCGTACGTGTGTTGACGGCGGCTGGCTGGGAGTCTCCCACTTCCACTGTCCCTGGGTTGGAAACGCACCTAACAGGGACCGAGGTTTCCTTGCATAGCCGGTGATACGGCCAGCAGCGCACCCAGTGGCGCTGCCAGGCGCGGTCTTGAACTTTTCAGCTGATGCCTGCTGCAAAGCCAGTAATCAGCAAGCCGGTACCGGGCACGGTACCGGGCACATACAGGCATAGTGAGAATTAAGGGAGCTAAACGCCATTAGCTGTGCGCTTTATGCCTTAATGGGCCGAAATAGCTGATTCTGCTTCTTGACCATATTTGGACTTAGCAGTTATTGATAGATGCGTATGACTCAGTCCCCGTGGCGCCACAGGCTGCCGCCTCAGTAGGCGGAGCTTGGCTGTGAGGCACAGGGTCCTGACTTGCGCTCTTCCATGGAACCACTTGTCCAATCACACCGAATGATTACCATCTGTTAAAAAGAGCCATGCTTGAAGAGCAGGCTGGCAACGTCATGTTTTGCCGCCGCTCATCGGTCTAATCCTTTGAAAAGGATTTTTTTCAGCATTTGGTGTATTCTACAGACCTTATGCTGGCTGCGTCTCTGTGCCGTCCCCCTCCCCCCACATACTAGGCGAGCCTCTACCCCAGAAACCCAAACAGTGCCTAGAAGCGATGTGTCAGCACGAACAGGGGGCGCCGAGTCGGCACGGTCGACGGGGTGACGGCCAGCTGCCCCGGAGCTGCTGCGGCTACACTTCATACGGTAATACCAGTTCCCACCGAAGTCTTGTCAAATTAGCTCTTAAGCCTCAGGCCGATTAGCCCAGCACCACATCTTTGCGTTGTAAACTTGTCTGGGGTTGTCTTCCTTTCCGGTGCCGGTGAGGTGCAAAAATGCGAAAAGGGTACATCTATACAAAAAGTGTGTCTCCTTTGTGTCTGTGTCTGTTTGTGCCTCCGCAAAGGTAGTTTCTGTGGCGAATAAAACCACGAGAGACCAGAAAATTCCAAGCTAACAAAACACTGTTCTCAGTTTAGCAGGGACTTTGAATACTTGCATGTTATCACGAACCTCGCAGTCTGAGCGCCTCGCTTCGCTTAAGACCGTGCAGAGTGCGTAATAGCATGTCCCGCAGCTCTTCAGAGGAGTGCACCTGGCTTCGAGTGGCCTCAAGCACCTCGTTTTCAGCGTTATGAGAGGCTTGTAGGTCACGAAGTGCCTGCATAAGGAGGACAGGCTGTCTTTTGATGACTCCGCCATTGGGCACATTAGATCGATTGACCCACGCAGCATGATCCCTAGCTTTATTTCTCCCGTAATTATTAGAAAAGACATCCCGAAATACAGCTAGTACGCCCGGACAAATTCCTAGCAGTTCAAATATTGGCAGGTCTGTGCGTTGTTATTAACTGTAACGCGGTGACTACTATAGCATAAACACAGCCAAAAACATCATGGCTGTGAATTCAGCTGCCATGCGGGCCATATTGGCACCAAAATATCGCACAATTATCACAGTGTAAGAGGAAATAATGAACGTCAGGCCACTTATCATTTGTGTGCGAGGATTCCGGCAATAGTGAAGATACTGAAGCAGATGAGATGATAAGCAAGATGATGCACTGCAACGTTACACATGTCTCACTAAAAAAACTGTGCTTTGATCGGCCCAGTTCCGTAAATGGTATGATTACATCTGTTCACCCGGGAGCTGCACTGGACAGCATTCAGATAAATCACTGATTTCGCACCAGACCATCTAATGTTCACTAGGACTTCCGTGATAACGTGGGGTCCATTTTTCTAATCTCCCAACAAGGCTCCAATTACGTCGCGTTATCGGTTCGCACTTTCGCTGGGAAGTTAGTTTGTCTGTCCTGGTGATTACTCGTTTTCTGGTCATGTAGCATTTCCCAACGGACATCACCAGAACCCAACTAACAGTTGACAAGCATTCCACGTTCCGCGAACCCGAAACTCTTAGAACCGATGTGGCTACACCGCGGCTGTCAGTGAATCTCGGACCGGCCATGTGCGAGCCTGTACAATCTATTTCAGTTGAGACCGCCGGATCGCAGGCGTGATTCGTCACGTGGTCACCACTGTCGGGGTGGTATTCGTCACGTGACCACCACTGTCGGGGCGGGATTCGTCACGTGACCACCACTGTCTGGGTGGATTCGTCACGTGAACATCACTGTTAGGGTGGGACGCGCAGGTGCACAGGTGGACTTATATACATGGTTCAGCTTGGGTGGAATGTATTTTTGTTCCGGATTAGATTTAAAATGCCCGATGAAAAGCTGGAATTCAGTCCGAATCTGACTCCGGCATGGTTAGAGAAGTGCTTGATCTAATGCCGAATCGGTACTCTCAGTCGAATCAAGTTTTGCTATATATATATACACTCCTGGGATCCCTTATGGTCCTCCAAAAATCCACAAGCCCTCTTTTCCCTTAAGGCCGGCTTTTCAGCAAGCGGCACGCCCTCCTATAAACTGTTGAAATTTGCTTGTACCATTGCTAACACCCTTAAGCATAGTTGAACACAAGTTCATTGATATGCGAGTTCAAAAGTCATAAGGCCAATTTGAAACCTCTGGCTATAGGAAGTCGACGACCCCTGGTCTTGGACTGAGCTTTCTCTCATTCCCGACGCTTTTCAGCTACGTGGTATGAAAACAGCTTTTTACAGAGCTTTCCTTTTCTCTTTTGTTCCGACCTTGATCGGCTCAGATCGTTCGTTCAGGGAAACGGTTTCCCGCCTTCAATCATTAATAATTTGATTAACAGCTTCTTGGATGCTAAACTCGTCAAAGCCTCGACCGTTCGTGAAGGCCTGAAGCTAAAGAAACATTTGCTGCTGTCCTATTTTGGAAAAGTCTATATAAATGAAAAATGAGCTTGCAAACCTGCAACGAGATTTTGTACTCTCTTCTGTCTCCCGGAATAATCTTAGTTAACTCTGTTGTTGTTGGTTCTCTCGTAAGTTAAAAGACAAGCTTCCCAAGTGTTCTGTCTCTGCAGTCATTTATTAATATTGTTGTCCTTCGTGTGGAGCATTTTAGAGGGTTCAACCCTTCTTAATTTGCATTGCAGAGTGCAGCAGCATTTGGGAAGGTCTGACCGTACAGGAAGCATTTATGCACATCCCAGATCCTTTGCTCATCCGCGACCGTTCATTTTACGTATGACACTGACTTTAGCATTGAAAGCGTTTCCGTAATACGACGCAGCAGCAATTCTCTCGATCCTGGATTTAGGATCACTTCATTTGCTTAAAAATACCGCCATTGAATAGCATGGGGTTTGCACATCCTTTACAACTTATAGGGTAGCCTTTTTCACATGGAGTCGAAGGAATATTTCGTGGCTCGATTTTTGCATTTTTCAATATGTCTGTTTATGCGCAGAGAGGTCGTGCTGAATGCTGTAACTGTGACCGTTGTCATGTCTAGCAACGTTGGTTGAGTGTTCTAATATTTCATTGTAACTTGATTGAGCTTGTACCAATCTACTCATCCTGATGATGATGCGCCATGTATCGAAACGGCGACCGTTGCATAAATGATGCCGTCGATTGCTGTCCTTGCCATAAAGTCTTGTTACTTCTCATTATCCGAAGATGTTACACACACACACATCTATATATATATATATATATATATATATATATATATATATATATATATATATGTACATAAACATATATACATATAGATACCTGCATGTATATATGCATATATTGACATCTTTATGAGTATGCTCCTATAGGTGTCAAAGCTTCTCGAGTGCTTGTGATGGATGGAACAATGCGGATATTACCAGGGATACATATAAAGCAACTGCATCTTTTTTGTCTGCAATGCTAAAGAAATGAATGGCTTGGCACATGTTTGGTAATATTTCATGTCCCATTCAATGTTCTCTCATGGCAGTTGAGGAACTCATTTCGAATAACGCTAACTTATTAACCATAGTGAACAACCCAGAGATCCGGGTGGACTCGTTTTGAAAATCGGTTACCGTCCAAGTGGAAGCTCTGTCGCAAATCATGCAAGTCAATTCTGAACCAAGTGCACCCCTGCCGAATTGCCAAAGGAGCCTGATCGGAATCTGATTCTGGTCCAGATAAAATACATTGCGGCATCAGATTCGATTCCCCTAGGTCGTACTCAAGATTAAATCGAAGGGAGCTGTGTCCTTATTCGCCTCAATCCAATATGTGAGCCAGGATCATTTGTCATACAACTATTTTTGCCACGTTTAGAATGTCATGCGGTAATGTCTATGCCTAGAAAGCCTCAGAAATTGCTAGAAAGTTGTTTTTGGGTTTGTAGGTACATGCCTATTTCGTACGTACATGTCTGTTGATTTCGATTATGTTGGACATTTTGCTCTCTGCTTAAAGTGAACCAGTCCAGAAGCCAAGAAAGTCGTAGTTTTGCTGTCCGAGCATAGCGAGTTAGATGGCCTGGATCAAGCCAGGTAGGGAGACTAAAACACTGCTGAGCCTTACGGCACGAAAGTTTACCACCCAGCATTCAAGGTAGCGGCTTTGGAATAATAAGTCGAGCTCAGTGCTACCATGATGCGATCTGGCGTGTACACATGTTGCTGAAACGATTCGCCTAGCAACACGTGCGTTTGCTAGACGCCTTTTATGTGCATGATTACGTACCATTCCAACGTCATTCCAGATCATAGAAGATTCACCGTTTCAACAGTTTTGGAAAATAGTTAACACTATTGACAAGAACACCGGACATGAACAGACAGCAACATCAACAGAATTTCATGGCGTATGGCTATCAGCGTGATGGGGGCCAAGCTGGTGTTCGGGATGGGAGGGGGCAAATCCGTTATTTTGTTTGCCGGGCCATGAAAGCGAAAATGAGCGGCAGGACCACCAAAACTTATGGACACCCTCTCCGCATGAGTGACATCGCTGCCACCCTCTCCGAGTGAGTGACATCGCTGCAGCCAAGATCCAGCAGAGTCCGCTGTCTCTTCCATTCAGCTTTATGTCGATCTTTATCTGCGAAGGCTGCTCACTAATGTACGAACGGACTTTATACGTATTTCAAACAAGTTTCTTGTTTTTTATGGGATGCGTTACCAAACGAATTACATCAAATGGCGTCAAACAAAACTAGCCGTGGGCATTTACGAATGCGCCAACTTGGTGTCAGTACACACACGTAGGCAGATGCCAGCAGATAACTGATCCAATCACGGAGGGTTTTGCCACCCCTCTTAAGTCAAACCCAGGTGCAAAGTGTCTGCACGAGACTGCCCAACGCCACTGCGTGTGCGATTTACCGATTTACCGTAGTGAAATGTGGCCTGCAGGGCTCACATTGAACAGAAAAACAGGCTTCTGGACATAAACATCAATAGGTCAGCATCAGCAGGTCATCAATGGGACATCAATTCCATCAGCTGTGTAACTATAAAAGCTTGCATCTACAGTCTACTACATGTACTTGCATGCACTTCGAAATGCATTTAATGAGGCGTGTTTCCTACCCCCGCATGCCACGCTGCCTGACCTTGTTTCCTACCCCCGCATGCCACGCTGCCTGACCTTCCACTGACATTCGTAACCTGAGCCCGAACACGCCCGTCCCGCCACGCACTGTGCAGTTCATTGTGATGGCCGTGATCCTGTCCCGCCGGAAGCGGCCTGCAGTTGCCCGCCGCATGCGCTGCTCATCAGGTGGGGCAGGGCCGGCCGGGGCAGGGGAGGGCCGTGGGTGACTCAGACCCTTGTGACGAGGGGAGCACGGCCGGCCTGCCGGGGCGGGGCGCGGCCCGGCAATCAATACTGCCCGCTGCTAAGCCGGTTTGGAAGCGCCATGGCGGCTGGGGCGTTGTCCGGAGCCTGGAATGGAACGCTGGATTATTGGGCCCCGTCAGAGTGCGTTCAAAGTTTAGGCCAACCTTTGAGGAGCCAAGTGGGAAAATATTCGATCATTGTGAAGAATGAAGCTGTCGTCACCACTGGGACTTAAGCCCAGAGGCACACTCACTGCCGGGCCGTTGTTATGGACCCGTACTGCTTGGGCCGCCGTCGATAGGCCCGCCAGTGACCGAATGACTGCTTGGAGGACACGCTGCAGGGAGATGACTGTCTAGAGGCTCATTGCTGACCACATGGCTGCCAGTGTCACACTTTTCAACGGATAACCGTCAAGGGGACGCTGTTGTCGGGTGCGGCTGTCTAGAGACTGGCTGGTGGCTCACACTACTGCAAAAGACCGGACTGCATGAAGGTACGAGGTCGTTTGCGTCTACTGATGGCCCCCACCTGGGGGTATCAGCAGCAGCTGACGCCAACTAACTGCGCCTGGTCGCGCTGTGTCGCGCTGTGTCGCGGTATTGGCCTGCATTCAGCGTTTTGGAAGCACTTTTCGCGCAAAACGATCACGCCATGTACTTTGCGTGAAACAGGCGATACAGTGAATGACCACGCTGCAGCAGTGCAAGCTATGACCCGGCATGCATCATATTAAATTTGCTGGCAGTGTTCGGCGCGTAACAGGGCTCACGATGTCGCAGTGAAGTAGCGGTTCATAGATGCAGAAAGAAGGCCCCGGCACCTATTGTGTTGTCTATGGAAGGTCCAGATCTCCATTTGCTGCCCAGAGTTAGTAAGGGTGAAAATACCGGACTGAAAGGCACAGAACCAGTCTTCTGTCCAGTGGCGGGTCAACCTCTCTTGCCATTGTGGATGTGGATGCCAGCAACGGCCCGAAGTGTCAACAGCTTAGGGTGTCCTTACTAATGGATGTGAACTCGTCTCCTTAAACTTATTGTAGCCTTGTGACTTTGAATAGAGCTTGGGAATTTCTAGATGGGGAGTGACTGTGAATAGAACGTGGGAATTTCCAGCTTAGAAAAATAGCGTCAAATACGGGCTCGCATTTGAGCTAAGGATGAGACTTGGACACGCGACGAACGCGTCCTCTTTCTGCCGAGCGTTCGCTCAAGGCCTGTTAGGAAGAGAGGGTCGCCCTCAGATTTGCGGTGTGATCTATTGGTGTTCCAGAAGCGTCAATTGTGCTAAAGTGACTGGGATTGGCGTTGTGGATGCGAGGAGCGACTCATAGGTTTGGCTAACAGGGTCGGAGCCCCTTTATTTTTCTGGTGAGGAGACGCCGCACAAGACTAGTTTGGACGCAAAATGTGTCACGAGCTGTAATTTCTCAACTGCATAGTGTCTTGGCGCAAGATTACCTGATGCCTTTCCACCAACCCCGTTCAAAAACACCGCTGACAGCATATGGCGTAGCTGTTCGCCGACAGCCAGCCATAAACATTACAAATATGACGCTGATCAGAGTTGCTTCGAGTTGATATGAGGTGCTGAGTTGATTGTTTCTGTATCTAAGGCGGGAGGGATTTAAGTGCGAGAGCCACGAACGAAGAACACGCTTTACTTCAGCGCATGCCGTGAGTGTCTGAATTTGGGAGGATGCGCGTGTGTTATGCTGCACGAAATAAAAACACACATTCCGATGTAAGACCTGCAGGCTTTGCGCCAACATCCCGCTGTCTGACTGGGTTGACTGAGCAGCGTTAGCACCTCTCCAACTCCAGAAATATAACGGGTCTTCACCTAAATAAAGGAACTAATGTTTTGGAGCCTTATCGCGTGGCCTGGATTTGTGCTGCCACACAAACTTGTTTGCCGAATCGGACGTTGTATGCACTACTGGAATAACAACTCTAGGCAGAAGAGATAAGCATTGCAATTCGCACCGAACGCTGACCACACTGTTTGGTTTCTGATGCAGAGTTGACAAGCCTGGTGCTGGCGTATTCAAACATGTTCACTGTTCACGCCTTGGTTGCAAATGATCTTGCCGCGCCTGTTACGTTAATTGTGCTCTGTCGTTTCGCGGGATACGGCCAAGGGTTGTAGTAGAAATATTGAAAGCTTTTACCGTTTTTCTAAGTGGAAGAAGCGTTTTGCAACATACTGCTGGACGGTGAGCAACTGTCCTCTTGTCATCGAACCCAGCGGTCCCGCGAGGAAGGACTAGGCTGCACAGGTGGGCCATTTAAGCGAACCAGGCCACGGGCGAGCCAGGTGCGTCGAGTCAGAATGGGGCCACTCGAGCTTATATTCGTAAAATTTAAAATCACGCTGATGATTCCCTGTGGAAGAAATAGGGGATCTTTATATATAATGACTATACCTGCATAATGGTAGCCAAACGTAGACCTGCAGCGTGCACCAAACAGTCAGAAGGGCGCGAATAATTTTTGATACAGCATGAAAAGGTTAGCCATACCTCGGTTTTACCGATTTTTATCATGAGTTTGCCTGTCCAAAAACTGTTAAGGTCACAACAGAGTCGTGAGAATAAAAACTTTGCCAGGCTTAAGATGAAAACCAATAAGTGTATCAAGCTGAGCGTAATTAGATGTCGCCGTCACGCTCTTTCGGCTGCGGCTAATTTTACGTCTCATTTAAAGTTTCAACGCAGATCAAAGTACTCCGCGCTCTGTCTGCTATCTTTTTCCCAAATGAGGTGTCGACGGAAAATGAGGAGCAAACGTGACGTAATTTGCATTTGTCCCTGTTTCAGATGAACATGGCTGTGTTGAAATCCGTGGCAATAGCTACAGTGACTCTACTGTTGGCGGCTCAGCAGTGTGAGTATCCTGTGATTGGGCGAATTCCGGATAAGTGTCACACTCCGTCCTGCTATTTGACATGTGAAATTTATAAAGTGAGGTTGATGATTGTTCGAATCTGAGCATGCTCCAGCTATTTCATCACATAGCATGTTCGAATCTGAGCATGCTCCAGCTATTTCATCACAAACAGCAAGATGAGGTGAGATTTTCATCGTGGGCAGTAAATATACGACACCGATGGTCTTCGGGCCCCAAGGCTCGCATTGCTCTTTATTGTTACAGATACCTGTATCATGCTGGTACTTTATTTCCGCCAAAATCGCAGCCAGACATGTTCGCTGAACCTTCTGATCTCCACCGGAAACACTGGGCCACGGGCACTCGGCTCCCTATTGCCGACAGATCTCACTGGGTCACGGTCAATGGTTTCCTGTTCCCATTGACCGCACTGGGTCGTGGCCCTCTCTGGTCACCACTGGCCTCGCCGGGTCACGGCTCTGAGCGGTCTGATTCCGACTGATCACACTAGGTCGTGGCTGCTGGACCCTGTTGGTGCCCATCGCTATCTGTTGGTTGCGCAGACTGGACAATCTGGCCTCAGCAGAACTCTCAAGAGTCTCACAGTGTGTGTCTACAGTGTGCTGGTTCCATGAACTCGACTAGAGCTCGGCCGCTCACACCGCGTTGGTGGTGTACGACAGGGCTCGGGTAGTCCGGATCTGGGCTTGACAGATGAAAGCCAGCTGTATAGACAGAGGATCTTGACAGGTGCCATGCGGGCCACGACCTTGTTTGTCATCGCAATTGCAGGCAGTCCCGTCCCCAGGAGGTGTTGCCTAATCTGTGCGGTTATCTCCGTCACCTAATTTAGTTTACCCTCGTGAATGCTGGTGTCATTGGCTGTCTGAATTACGGAGCAACACACCCGGACTGACGCCTCTGGTGCGTGTGTTAAATCCCACCATGTGACTGGCCCGTGACCAGCACGACGGGCCACCGCGCGTCACTCGTGCTGACGCGGGCCCTCCGGCACCACTGCAGGCGTCGCCTACAAGTGTTACGTCTGCAGCTGGTCGCCGACGTCACACAACCGCACCGACATCTGCACCCGGGCCAACTTCAACAAGGACGCCGTGAAGACGTTCGGTGGCTGCCCTCACGGCTGCGAGGTCGTCTCGGCGTACGACACGAACGGTGAGGCACCCCCTGGCGGCCATATAGCAGTGCGGGCATATGAAAGATAGCAGTGCGGGCATATGAAAGGAGACGTGTGCGGGGATGGGCGTACGACACGAACGGTGGGGCACCCGTGGTGGCCGGGATAGCCGTGCGGGCACATGAAAGGGGACATGTGCCGAGATCCCAGAGGTGGATCCAGGTTCCCATAGGGTAGCACATCAATGGGATCCTGGGATTTTTCGAGCTCCAGACACATGTCTGCTTGAGATTGGTGTCCGGCAGGGAGAGAAATGGGCAGGCTAAAACATGGTGCCTTGTTCCCTGACTGCCACGTGTGGAATTACATTGGGGGATATTTGTAATGAGTTCGGAATCACTCACTTTGGATCCTTGGTGGATAGCTGGCAGTCATGGTGTGTATCCGAGCCCGGCCAATTATCTTAAAATGATTCCATGATTAAAAAATGAACGCGTGCACCATTTTTACCAGATAATTAGTTTTTTTTTTGCATGCGCTGATACCTGGCGCTGCAATCGCTTTGTAAAGACGAGGTCTTAACACACAAATATAAGGCGCGATGGGTATAAGGCATATTGATATCCAGTGTAAGCGATAACATCAATAATTAGGCCGGCATTGCCAATAGGTCGGTCCGACAAAAGTTTGCAAAAGTAATCTCATTTTCGTCGATCTGATGGGTTTCAAATGCGTCTTTGTTTCCTTCTAGCCGTCAAGTTACGTGTTTAAATCAAAAGTTTGACTCCTTGAAACAAGTTACCATGGACAGCGCACTTGGTGCGCCCTTTCCCTTAATGAATGTTCTTCTTTTCAAGTGGACAGTAAATACGGCTTAATGTATAAAGTTGGTAATTGTTGTTGGTTGGTAAAGTTGGACCTTGGTAAATGGCGGCAGCTGGTCTTGTGCAGTTAAATGTAAAGCTAATGCGGTGAAAGGAAGCTATTTGCTAGGTGGAGGTCTGTCTAAATTCCCAATTACGTCGTCTAAATACCACGAATTGCTAGATTTTGTCTGTCAGAGAGATTGTTTGAAGGTTAAATTGAATGATCCAATTCTGCAGCAAGCTTTCGCAGGGGTTGGCCGCCTCATGGGATAGTCACCCTCATTTGATATGTTAGATGCGTTTTCAGCGGCATTAAGCGGGTCAGCCAATCTTGAATTATGGTAATCTACCCCCACCACATTAGACAGAGCATATTCTGCCATCTGCTCCGGGCTAGAAACGTTCGCGAAACGTTTGGGTGACTTCAAAGTGACAGACTTATTATTCTGCTGTAGAAGGCCAAACCATTGAGGCGATGTCGACTTCGACGCTGAACACAACGTGGTCTGTGCGATGGGAGATGCAGGCCGCAGTTAATCCTGACAAGGGAAAATGGAAGACGTACAGTCGGTAGCGAAACATATGGGAGCAGTATATGACGAAGCTCCGTTTGCCAGGAAAATCATTCTTTTCCGCTGTAGAACAAGTATCGGGGTGCATTATCAGCCAGACGCCTTCGCGACAAGACACGTATGTGATGCACCTTACGTCTGCGAGCAGTGGCGGCGTACCGGGAAGTGCTTATGTCCTGTAAATGTTCTCAGTCTATCAATGCGGGATCATAGTTTGTTGTGACCCATTTCAAGCGGGGTGCGCCGGTAGCGGAGTCCAGATTGAGCGGAGCTTCTTCTTCTCGTGTTCGCACACCTCCAGTGCTTTCCTCTCGACCCGAAGTGCTGCGGGAGTCTTAACATGCTGCTAAGATCACAACATGAACGCTTGCGCGAGCAGTCTGCCTGCCTGCCGGTTGTAACTCTAGCGCGCACGATGATGCTCTTGACGGTGGGGGGGGGGAGGGGGCGCAATTGATGGCACGTGACACATGTTTCTCTCTCTCTCTCTCTCTCTCTCTCTCTCTCTCTCTCTCTCTCTCTCTCTCTCTCTCTCTCTCTCTCTCTCTCTCTCTCTATATCTCTCTCTCTCTCTCTCTCTCTCTCTCTCTCTCTCTCTCTCTCTCTCTCTCCTCTCTCTCTCTCTCTCTCTCTCTCTCTTCTCTCTCTCTCTCTCTCTCTCTCTCTCCTCTCTCTCTCTCTCTCTCTCTCTCTCTCTCTCTCTCTCTCTCTCTCTCTCTCTCTCTCTCTCTCTCTCTCTCTCTCTCTCTCTCTCTCTCTCTCTCCTCTCTCTCTCTCCTCTCTCTCTCTCTCTCTCTCTCCTCTCTCTCTCTCCTCTCTCTCTCTCTCTCTCTCTCTCTCTCTCTCTCTCTCTCTCTCTATCTCCTCTCTCTCTCTCTCTCTCTCTTCTTCTCTCTCTCTCTCTCTCTCTCCTCTCTCTCTCTCTCTCTCTCTCTCTCTCTCTCTCTCTCTCTCTCTCTCTCTCTCTCTCTCTCTCTCTATCTCCTCTCTCTTCTCTCTCTCTCTCTCTCTCTCTCTCTTCCTCTCTCTCTCTCTCTCTCTCTCTCCTCTCCTCTCTCTCTCTCTCTCTATCTCTTTCTCTCCTCTCTCTCTCCCTCTCTCTCTCTCTCTCTCTTCTCTCTCTCCATCTCTGTCTCTGCCACTGTCTCTGTCTTGCCACTGTCTCTCTATGCCTCGTCTTTCTCTGTCTCTCTCTCTCGCCCTCGCCCTCGCCCTCGCTCTCACGCTCCCTTACTCTCTCTCTCTCTCTCTCGTGGACGTGTTCGATCACTTAGAGCAGAGGCCGAGTCGCGTTTCGGTTTGGGTGCTGGTTTAAGCCATTTCGTCAGTTGGAAATGCAATTGGCATTGGTTGCGATATGAATTGCCTGCGAACATCCCTGGGGCCGCTGCGAGGCTTCTGCATGTCGCATTGAGGCAAGGGTTTTTATTCCTGGGCCAGTCAGCGTATGACCAGCTGAATAGCTGAGAACATAAGGCATTGTAAAACAGGCTCAGAACTTCTTGACCATTGCTGACATGGTTATCACAGCTGAAATATCCCGTCGCAGGTGAGCTGGAGAACTTCTACCGCAACTGTGTTGTCAAAGGGAAGAAGGTCACCAACGACTGTCGAGAGGAGACCAACGCGGCGGTCCGCAAAACCGTCTGCCGGTGCGACTCTGACCTCTGCAACGACGCGGGGACGTCGACTCCGACGCTCCTCGGAGTCCTGGCGGCGGCAATTTTAACTGTCAGTCTGGCCTTGCGAGGGTAGACGGCGCTACCGTCGCCGTTCGTAAGACGCCTGTAGGGTTGGCGCGGCGTGCTGATGACCCAGCGAGGAGTGAGGAGCACTCGGCTGCCATGCCTGCTGAATGTTCGCTGGTCCGGTCGGTAGAAGATGCGTCGGACGGAGTGCTTGCAATGCCTGCAGCCTTGGCGGTGCTAGGCTCGAGAGCTGGAGCCTGGAGTGTAGTGCGGGGCGGTCCGCTAACGGCCAACGCCCATCACGCCCTGCGGGGGCGGAGCAGGCAGAGCGCGGCAGCAGCAGCGGCGGCGCCGTGGACGGCGCTTGGCGACCCAGCACGCCGCAGCTTCCTATTGACGCAGTAGCTTTCGCAAGTTGTCGTCGCTGGCATGGCCCATGTCAAGCTTCTGATGGTCAGTCAAATTCTTTCGGCAAGGCACGGTATTGTCGTGCCCGCGGTGCCATAAGCGCCGCTTAGCTTAAGTCAGCTGCACACCACATCCGCTGTTGACAACCAAGATGTCCGACAGAATTCCGCCGAGCGAAACGCACAGGCACGTCAGCATACGCCACGTACGAGTACGCTGGCAAACTAGCTACTCACGATCGAGTGACTCGGTTCTCCACGCATATCGTCCCACTTGTCTCAGATTCGGTGGGGCAAAATGCCCGATGCTTTGAACTGGCGTGCTTTTGCCTTGTTCATAAATGCCTCTGAGTTGTTTTGATCGTGGCTTGATTATCGTTCAGCCGCGGGAAGCGTGCTGTATGTGATGAATTATCATGAAGCAAGTGGTATCGGAAAGAGTGTACTAGATAGTTTCAAATTTTGAAATAATTTTATGCCCTTTGCCGTCGTTTAAAAAAGATTTAATCATTTCGATGACCTGGCCGACTTGCCTAATCTTACGTGGCCGATACAGGAGATGTTCTGCGAAAGGGTCTACAAGTTGATAATTTGGAATCTGATGGAGTTATACTTCGAGCAGTCTCTACATTGATTTACGCAATTTGCTGGCACGCGACTGGCATTTTGCGATACTCTGTAATGCATTTCAAGGCATTCAATGATCTGATGGTATTACGTGAAGTACAAATGTAGCCTGTCCTGATTTCTGTAGCGTTAGATAATTTACCGGGACAGTAACATGTTATGTGGTAGCACGTTCCACCCACCCGAGGCCATTATGGCGCAAAAAGTGTTTCTCTTGATAATGCTCATTGTTTCCCAAAATCTGTCCTATTGATTGCGTTAAGTGAAGCCCAGTTTTGATTTCTAACCTGCCGCGTTTAGGTTTGAACAGCTGCCTGTCTAATTGTGAGATAATCGGTAATGCTTAAACTTCCAAAGGTTGAAAAGCTTCCTCCCCAGATTCGTCGTCAAAGTTATGAGGCCAATGGTGCTCGGCCAATTTAACGTCTTCTTGGCTAACGGCTGCATCTGTAGACATTGAAGTCAGTTTGATTTGTTTCCCTTTAGTTCTTCTCGATGTGCCGCAAGTCGTGCGAGGTCATGGCCCAAACACAATATGGAGGCGTCTATCTGAGCCACTCGTCTGTAATGACAGCGCTTTGTCAATGCTACGTGGATTGCAGTGCCCTAACGCCACTGACTTGGCGTTGGTCAGCCATCAACGCTGCATTCCTGCGGCGTACACAACTAACTGTGCCACTGGGGGCGCGGCATCCACGTGCCTTCAGCTTCAGGCTCCGGTCCGCGCGCTGTATTAAGCTCAAGCTCCGTCGTCTTTTTCTCCGCGCCGTGAAGCCATGTCGCCGTCAGGGTTTGGCGTCCTCCCTTACCGGTCACCCCAGAGAGGTCCCAGTGCCGGAGCCAACGGTCGTGGGTCGGCCAGCCGTGCCGCGCAGGCCAGCTTGAACCAGCTCGTAGTTGGTGTGCGTGTGTGGCTATCTGACGGTGTGGCGTGGTAGCAGCCGACGCGTACGCTGTACAAGCGTGTGGACAACACGAGAACTGTAGTCCACGAGGTGCATGACACGTGTTAGCTGCGCTCGTCGCGATTTTTCTTGTCTCGGCCGTAGCGTTCCGTGTTTCCAGCGCGCCCCGACTCAGCCGTGTGGGCCGGACAGCAGTCGCGACACGGGAATGTCAGGGCGAAGGTGTCGATCTAAGCTTGTCGTCTTGCTCTTCGTTTCTTCTCGATGTGCTCCAGTCATGTGCACCAGGCCGGTAGTTCAGAGTCTCGTGAGCTGCGGAGGGTCAATACAACTATGTACCAAAGCCGCTTGGTGTGCAGCGCAGTCGTCAGGAGCGCAGATGAGAGGCGGCACTGCACCTCCAGTGAATTATGCCGCTTGTTTACTGCTATGCAGTGCACATGCGCCGGTCAACTCATTACGATGTGGTCAGGCTGACGTGACCACGGCGATCCCGCCGTTCATAGGGCCAGGTACACAACGGTCCACAGGGACTTCCGTCACGCGGGCATGGACGACCTGGGCTACTCCTACCCTGGCGTCAGACAGTCTGTCTATTCAGCCGAGTGTTACTGCTGGCCACCACGTTGCCGTTTCCCCGGAATAGACGCTCCAAGCCAGACCGCCGCTGCACGGACTCCCAACCGAGAACAGGAGCCGTGTTCCAACGCGAGGCGTTGGACTGTCACCGGCTGCCATCCGGATGCCTTTCATTTAACCTGGTTTTCACATCGCCTTTACGTCGGAATTAAGCTTTCGCGAACGAAATCAAATCAGCCCGATCAGCAGTACAATCGCAGTGCGTTTATTGACGATTAATAGCGCTGGTAAGCCAGCCAACACCCGAGCCGTCACACCACTCGTGCAGGAGGAAGCGCCACAGGCGTACGGCTTCAGCGGTGCCCTCTGCGCCGCGGCTGTGTCCATCCACACATACCAGACGCCAGCCCGCACGACGAGTGTAAGTCACAACGCCCCGTTCGAGCCAGTGACGTCAACACGCCACGGATTGTGCTGCGCACGGCCCTGCCGCGAGACGCGACACGTGACACGTGACGAGTGACGCGGTCAACGGACCGCCGCGCCGGACGGGCACGCAACGCTTCACACGAGAGTACATCAACAACAGAACCGTCGTCCACAGTCCCCCAGCAACAGGTAACACGTCGGTAAGAGAAGCGTTGCGATTTAAAACTCACGAGCGCCGCATAAAACGTACGGCACTAACGCGCACGGTGCGATGAATTCAGATAGGACGCGTGCGGCCCGCGAGGTCGCATCACGCAGGCCGCGCCTCCGGGAACCGCCCCGAGACGAGGCGACGATTAGGTCCCCGGCAGGAAAGTCCGCTGTACATCACACAAGTACGCCACTAGTGCGTAAGCCATCGCAACACCCGTATGTCGCTTCTGACAACGGGCTCGGCCGACCACAGGTCACTGGCGATTTGTCTACCCGCAAAAGCTCGCCATAGATTGTTCGTCGCCACGAAGCTCTGCGCCGCCCGCAGGCCTGACGCGCTGACCGCGTGGACAGCAGTCGCGACGCATTCGTTGAAGGACCACGATGGGGATATGTTGGGAAGCGACAGAAGCACCTCCGGGCCGATAACACTAGACGCTTCCGGGACGACAGCAGATCAACAGCCGCTGACGCCGAGGTCACACAGGACAGCTCCGTCCACGTGCGTAGCACCAGGCATGAGGTGGCCCCGCACAGCGGCGCGAGGGTGGCCGCCAGAGCCGGCTCCTCAGACGGCGGCGCCGCCAGCCAGCGCCGCCGGTGAGCGCGGCGTTACAGACGGCACCGCCGGACGGCCGGCGCTCCGTTCGGTGCCCACGGCGTGCCGCGGCGCGACGCGTGCAGCGCCGGCAGGACACCGGAGCCGTGGCCGGCGCCGGACGGTGCGACGCCCCGCACGGCCGCCGGTAAGAGCGGCCCCATTGCCGCCGCAGAGCGCTCCGGCCCGGGCGGCCCGTTCACTCCACGATCAGCCGCACGTCCGAGCGCGCCTCCGGCATGTCTGCCGAGAGTACGGCTGTTAGCGCGACAGGCGCCAGCGGGCGGCCCGACACGGCACAGACCCGGCCCGACACACCGCCGGCGAGACGGCCGCCGAAAACATCAATGTTGCCTGCAATGTCGATCCCATCAGCTCCCCGTTTTGGGGCGGGCGGGAGGGGAGGTCGACAAGAAAATATTCACAATTTCGATCAGAGGCTGATCTATAGCTCTATTCAGCTTCAACGCTCTGCTCCTAGCACACATGAAGCTACAGTGGACATAGGAAGTGGTCAGCCCCTTCATCCCAGTTGACTGCATCCATGAGACGTGGCCGCGGAGGGCGCGGCCCCGACAAACCTGACGAGCTGTTGGAGAATGCCAGTCCCGGATCGCCGTCCAACCGACGCTTGGGGCCCATCAGCCCGTCCGAATCCGGGCCCAGCGACTGCCGCGTTCGGCCGGCACCGTCCCCCAGGCTGCAGGCCACACGAACACGGGACATCACAGCGAGGCATGGCCGAGGACGGCGACCACGCACTCTCAATATCGGCAGTCTCGCCACCGAGCCGTCAACCACGTGTCACTTCCGCAGCACCCCGCGACTTAAGGCAGATCACCTGTTTGGAATGAAGCAAACGCCTCGTATTGTAAATGCGTCACCAAGGAAGGTTCACTAGTTGTGGATGGAGTCAGGCAAGACAAAGAGCAACACGCTCCTCACCGTAAGTTACGAGCAAACCCGCCACCGTCGCCGACCCCGCCGCTTCGCCCAGCGGCGACCCCGCCCCGGCCGGCTGACCTGGTGGAGGGGCGTGGCAGTCGGGTCGTAGGTGGAGCCGTAGCTGACGGAGCTGGGCGGCTGGTGTCGCATCGGGAACACCACGCCGTCTCCCAGCCTGCGACACACGCACACGCCCGCGTGCCGTGTCACCATTTGTTTCGCGCTGGCGACCCGCGTCTGCCGCTCGGCGCTGCATGACGGCTTGCCACTCGGATGGCAGGACCGTCTCCAGCCAGCCGCGGGTCGCGCGCGCGGGGTGGGGCACGAGAGGACGATGGCACACGCGATGGGGTGCAGTCTAATGAGATCCGAAGTTCCGCCCCGATGGCTCAGCTGGTAAGAGCGCCTGCTCCCGATTCACACACGCGTGGCATGTGAGTTCGAGTCGCTTAGGCGCTCGCTTTCTGCCCCTGGCAGCTATGGCCCGCGGCCGGTGGCAGCGGTCGTGATAAGATCAGGTGATGTCAAAGGGCAGGACGGACCGTACCAAGCATTGCGGCACGTTAAGCTTTCGCCGCCAAATTCCGCCGTTATCCCCGAACTGCGCGATCCGACGGAAGGGTCAGGGCACACGCAAGCACTCCTTGGCGTGAGCTCTGATCCATGAAATCCATCCATTCAAAAGGTTTCCGATTAAAATCTTTTAAAGATGTGACGCTACACAACTGCAAAGATGACCATGGCGAACAGGCCCCGTACCAATACCACGTGCGGTGGGGTTTAGCTGTTTTTATAGGCTATTTGATGCAATATCACACGAAGGTATGGCGCAAAACAACAATTAAATCACCAGCAATTCAATCAAAGTAAACAGGCGCGTCGAAATGTGATCCATGAACCTGATGACGTGGCCAATGTTCATCCCCCACATGTTTTAGCGGGGTAATTGTCGATGTTTTCCCGGGCTGGTTTCACTGGTGCCCGTATTTCACACGAGCTCTGTGCTCACCGGCCCGACCATGTAACACCGACGAGGATACTACCACAGCGCTGCAGGTGGAGAACAAGTCACCACAGTGTCGCAGAGGACAAAAACTTCCCTGTCACTTCAGGACCATATAGACTACCAATCTGTCAACGACATGGCGGCCAGGAGCACAGCACGAAAAGTTCACCCTACCAGTGACAGATGCTATCACTCACGAGGTAGCCAGCGGCAGGAACCACTTGAGTTTGGTGTCGCCGAACACGTCGCAGAAGTTGTTGTAGCGGCCCATGCTGAAGCCTCGCTTGTCTGGGCCCGACTGGAACACGGGCGGCCGAAACGTCTCTGCGGCAGAAGGTCCGGGGTCAGATCCGGGGCGCGAGAGGTCCGGGGCACGAGAGGTCCGGGGCACGAGAGGTCCGGGGCGCGAGAGGTCCGGGGTCAGACGGGTCCGGGGTCAGATCGGTACAGGGTCAGATCGGTACAGGGTCAGACGATCCGGGGTCAGACCGGTACAGGGTCAGACGGTCCGGGGTCAGACGGATACGGGGTCACACGGATCCGGAGTCAGGCGGGTCCAGGGTCTGAGGTGTCCGCAGTACGGAACATCCAGAATCTGAGAGTTCCGGAGTTTGAGACGTCCGTGGGTTAGATGTCTATAGTATGAGTTTCGTGGTCAGGCAGATCCGGGCTCGCACAGGTTCGGGGTCAGCCAGATCCAAGTCACAACATTCCGGGCACAGGCTGGTCAGGGTCTGAGAGGTTCAGGGTAAGACAAATCGGCCAGGCCCGGGCAGAGCGGCAAGCAGCACCAGCAGCCGGTCGGGCCGTCCGGCATGACGAAGAGGTAACGACGGCGCATTTAATCCACTCCGTCTTCCTGTTTTCATGGTTCTCCAACTGCCCTTAAGACACAGTTTGCTGCTGAAAACTGCGGGCCACCACCCTACCGTCGCTTTTCTTCATTTCAGACCTATGGACGCAGTCAAGAGGGAATATCGAGTTGAAACGCACCAATGAATCTACCAAATGCGTGCCGCGACTGGACACATACCTAGCGTCGACTGATTCCTCAGGACCAGGTAGCAGTGATAGCTGAAGAGCGATATCAGACTGATACCGAACATCGCGGCCACGAAGAAGAGGAAGAGGATGTGGAACCGGGCCATCCCTTCCAAGCCGTCCTGGGAACAAGCGTGAAGTCAAACGCAGCCAAGTACAGACTGGCAATCATCGACCAACCTAACATCGGCAGTCGCGTGATGCAAGGATCTCCAGCAATGCGTGCAACTCCGGACATTACTATAGCATCACAAACTAACTTCACTTTTCACGAAAATAAACTTCGCTTCAAGTCCAGCTTCAAGTCGCGGCCAAGTTCAACAGTCCAGCCGAAGTATTTTGCTAGAATTTCATTGCAGCACTTACCCTCCAGAACCCGATGAAGTACTTCAATGATGTCAAGGCGATATATATACAGTACGCAAAAGCGTACCCCAGAAACAGTACAAAGAACTTGTAATTGGAAAATCCTATGCAGTTGTTCACCTGCAGCAAAGGCACAGTTCAGTGTCATACATTATCGTTCAATCTGCAATTGACATTGACAGACAAGATAATAAATGCACGGCACTTTAGAACAGTGTGTGTGTATCATTCAGCCTTCACGACACCCTCAGCTACAGAGGCTATATGGCGTCGTCTGCCCCTCACCCTGGCATGAATGGTCGGCAGCGCGGGGAATCGAACCCCGTACTTTCGTTTCCCCGACGCGCAATAGTTAACCCAGGAGCGTTGACCACAGCACTATCGGCATCCGCACTAAAAAGCAGTGCTTCGAGGCGTACATGACATGAATATGTACCGGCGTGGTAACAGTCGATGCAAACGGTTACAACCATCGCGTGAGCACCAGCAGCCTCACGGAAATCTGACTGACACAGATGCGATACACTGGCCGACAGGAGCACTGCAATACCGCGCCGGGAAGACAAGCTAGAAATCATGATGTCAGATGTCATGCCAGAAGTCATCAATCGTGGTCAACGCGTGCAACGCCGCAGCACGTTCTCGCGAAATATCGTTCCTGCACGCGCACAACTGGTGCCTGGCTGCGCGCCGCCGTGCCCAGTGACCTGCACGTAGCGGGTAGCGACGTGCACCTGCACGTAACGCGCCGCTTACCCAGGGACAGTGGTGGTCCATCTTCAGCACGCACTCGCCGCACACGGAGCAGTGGTGGCTCCGGTCCGGTTTGACGAGGCGGCACTTGTCGCAGTAGCGCACGGCTGCCGGAGACAGACGCCACGAGGTCACCAGCGGCGCGCGGCGTGACGTCACAGTCAGCCCAGCGGACGCTCATGTACGAGGCCCCTTCAGCACCGCTAGACGCTGGGCAGCCCCACCACAGTAAGAGAGTATGCGTCGTGGAGCGAGGCGTCGGCCCAAATAGGCGGCAAGTGACAGAAACAAAGACATATTCAGTGCATTGATGCGCACATTTTCATGGATCTGTCCAGAAAAACAGTGACATGACAAGACACATTACGCAATGACACGACAGATCACGACATGTCACGACAGGTCACGTCACAGGACACGGCCGACGCTCTGTCCTCACTGACCGCCCGCCAGGGTGCGGTTGTGGACGGGCAGCTGGTGTTCGGCCACGTGCCGGTCGAGCAGCTGCAGCTGCAGCCGGCTCTCCTCGGTCGCCTCGAACCGCGCCTGGTCCGGCTGGCTCAGACGGAACTGCGGCCGGCAGCACACGCGATCAGCTGGCGGGTCGTCGGCGAGCGCACGCCCGCATACGGCCAGAACACAGCTGACCACCAGCAGAATTGGGAAGTATAGCAGCATGTGCTATAGCATAATGGGGAAGGGGTCTGACACTTTTCCGTAATCTGCGATTTGTTCCACTGCATCAATTAACAGCGACTTTTGATACAACATGCTCACGAAGGTAGCACGAGAGAGACATAAGAGGTCATGTCAAGATCGAGAGGCGCTAAAGAGGGCGAACAATATTCAGACACACACACAGACACATGCCTCAATTAACCACCTGATGCAGAACACTGAATGTAAATACAATTAATTATCTACCCGCTGACAGAGCAAAAATGATTGTAAGCGCGACCATTTTGCAGGTCCCGTGATCCCAGTCACCGGACCGCCACAAGCCGTAACTGCGCTGTAATTGGGGCATCTCAGGCTGACGTGTTCGCCATGACCTGTCCGTAATGAGTTCGAGTCTTGCAGCGTCTGTCGGTCAGGTTCAGTATGACGGTTGAAAAGCTGATGGCAGTAGTGGAGACGTGCGATCACGGGCCCGGCATAATTATTTTGCTGTAATCGCGTATCATCAGAACGTGACGAGAATGTAATACACCGTTATCTTAAGGCCACTGAGCTTGTGCGGTAGATATTCTGGTAGATGCCGTCCTTATAAGACCGGCATCTATCACAAAACATTCCCTTAAGGCGAGGTGTGCAATGTAGTCAAGGCTTATCAGAGCGTTGGGACAAGTGCAGACCGTTTCACGACGTGACTGCGCCAATTTCATCAGAAGATCCTGCAGCGAAGCTTTACCGCAAGCCGTAAACCTCATCAGACGGTTCAACGCATCATTCCCACAATCACGCCGCCCCTGACCGGCGGAGGGTCACTGCCTCGGCCGTGGCGCGCTGTCATCGGGGCGGGCGGCCGGCGGCCGGCCGGCCGCGGCCACCACCGGACGCACGTGCCGGGGCACACCTGTGGCTCGCAGCCGGCCGGTCCGGCGCCGCCACGGCCACGGCCGGCTCGCGGGCCTGAACACGCCCCTTGACCGACCAAGCTGGCCGGCGCCACCGGTGGCCAGCTGTGTGATTCGCGTGCTGTATAATCGATGACGCATGTCTCCGTCGGACAATCGAGCGCGGTTGGCTGCAAGGCGCTGACATTTGAAGATGTCATGATGTGAAGATGTCATTCTTAAAGATGATCTTAATGAAGAACATCGCAGTTTGTTGCACATGGTCGGCCCCTGATTCCAGTTTCAAAAACAAACTGGTGCTCAGATGTTCCTTCGACAAGCGCCGGCGAAAATTGAACGCTCACACCAACCTGTTTTGGGACTCGGCTGATGGGCGTCATCACTGTCTGATAGTAGGACCATATGAACAGGACCAGGATTACATGGTAGAAGATCAGGTATATTGTCTTCTCAACATAACTTTCCACCGTATCTGTCGGACAGACAGGCATAGTGTTAACTTGAATCAGTTCTGTGACAGTAAACATGTCGACGCCAGTATGTGAGCTGTCAAAAGAGTAAGCATGTGAATCAATTAATACATTTAAAAAGAAGTGACATCAATGGCCATGACACATCAAACAACACAAATGGCAACAGGGCAGCATTTCAGCTACACCAGATCGATCACACCTATCCCATAAATCAAGGAAGACATCTCTGGATATGAATCACCACACAGTCAAAAATGCCCAGCCTTGTATAAAAATCTAGCCACAGCATACATAATTGCCATACTCACAAATGCACAGTTCAAGGACATATGCATAATATGACCATCCAACGACGCTCAAGATGAAAATGACAGGAATCCACTTGGTGATACAGATGCAGATGCTGCATGGTTTTCTACCCATGTCTACAACATTCGTCATGACGGAGTTTGTCATGACATTTCCTGAAAAAGACGTCACAGTTACAGCGGAGCATGTGTTTCTAATAAGCTGTGTATGTTATTCAACAGCCCATTCCATGACAAAACCTTGCAGTATTTCAAGTTTCAGGCACTGTGAGTACGGAGATGTGGAAACTGACGTGGAATGCTGCGGATATTTTGCACTCGTCATATTCCAACGTATTGGTTTCCATCCCAGAACATGCTTACATTAACATGTTGACATGCTTACATTAACATGTTGACATGTTGACCTTCACCCAAATGTTGACCTTCACCTAACTGTTGATCTTCTGTGTTTGACACATTCTGCTGTTATCAAGTCAAGGCTTTATTGGATTCTTTGTGCGACCTCATCATATTTTACTGTGTTGTTATTTGTAGCACGGTATTCTATAGCATCATATCTCATGGCCTATTTCAAATTTGTGTAATGTTGTGCAATAAGGTGAGTGAGCATTGTATCAAACTCTGTACCTTTGGTTTCCAAAACAAGCAGCTTAACTAACCCCTGCACTACCCAGACCCCCACCCTCAACTTGAATTGCAGACCATCACTGAAAAAGTCCCCAACATATTGAATCTGGTCTTTAATATTTTCTGATCTGAAAGACTTATGCTCTTGACATCATTAGGTCAGAATTCTTACAGACATTTTTCAAGCTTCAATATATCTCAGATGTGACAAACACACAAAGTTATTGAGCAAACAATGGTTATAATGCCAACACCCAGCACTTCAAGCTTGTGACAATGCCTGAATGACACACAATACTCACTTGACATTTCAAATTTGTGGATCAGAAGCACACTTGAGGTGTCAGGCATCAACAATATAACCAGTGTTTGCTTAATAACATCATTGAGCCAGTACCTCCTGGTTTCCTGAAAAATGCTTCCTGTCAGCATTATAGCATGAAGCTTATAATTGGGCTTTGGATCAAAAAACCTGTCATTGGTATCTTACTGAAAATTGCAAGCAACTTTGATTGATCATGATTTACAAGGGATGAGATGAATTTAAAGACGCAAGCAGTTGATCATGCTGGTAAATATTGATAAATACGTGGTTTACAAGGGATGATATGAATCCAAAGATGCAAGCAGTTGCACATGCTGGTAAATACTGTCAAGTCTCATCCACAACTATCTTGGAGGCAAGCAGTTGATCATGCTGGTAAATATTGATAAATATGTGGTTTACAAGGGATGATATGAATCCAAAGATGCAAGCAGTTGCACATGCTGGTAAATAATGTCAAGTCTCATCCACAACTATCTTGGAGGCCTTGAAGCTGTCAGTTCAACTTGGCTGCCCAAAACCATTCCAAACATCCCCATGAACTCAATTGCAGCAACTAGCCTAAGTAATGGCATTATTTATGTAATCTCGCTACTTTGGAGTGCCGACACATTTTGTTTGAATACTTGGTGTCTCTTGACTGCTCCAGAAACATCCTATTCCTTTTTCTATTCTGGTGGTGATTCTATAAATGATCATATCATTTATGCATTGAACAGAACCTAATGAATTTCTGAAACTTATCTATAGTCCACAACAAACCACTTTTAAATGACCTATACATAGTCTACCAGTGCATCAGCCCTATCTTACATGATGCTCCAGTGCTCTTAGCTCTTGTTCATTGCTAGTTTGCTACAAATATTTGACCTGCAAGTGCACGACATTTCTCCCACTATACAATTACTTGGAAATTGTCCTCACTGACCAGGATGCAAAGCAGAGCTTTGGATGGGCACATCCTAGTAGGCCTTGGACATCTCATTGCAAAAGTGGGAAGCCCAAACTATGAGTCTGGGCTCTCATGCATGCTCTATGTGTAAATTGGTCACTTGCATTTATATAAATAATATGTGTGACATTCTCATTCCAATGAAGCTTTATCTTTAATTGTAGATCAGTCTCCCCATGTTACTCATAAAAATCAGGTGCTCATTGCCCTCAAAGCCACTCTCAAAAATCAAAATAAAGGCAAAATAAAAAGGGAACAGGGCTGTATCAACCTTAATTGAGGGATCAAACCATGTATTTTAAGCAACAAAACATGGCCTATCTCTCACCCAACCAAGGTCAGGTAGCCTGAACCCTCAGTCACCCTTCAAGGTCACAATGTAAGTCAGTATGATAAGTGACAGTATGAACTATACTGATACATTTAACAAAGCATTCAAAACATTAAAATATAGATCATCATGAGCATCAATTTCTGTCTAGATAATCTAAAATCTTAGTGAAAGCTTTCAAAGTAAAATAAAGGTTGCATGGTAAATACCTGAGCACAAACCCAGCATTTTGGCCTTTGGCACCAAGCAATTGCTTGTTAACTGGACTTACTTCTGCCAATGTACCCAAAATTACAAACTCCTCATCAAAACACTTGAAGGCCAAATTACAGAAGGGGAACACTTCAGCAACTGAAGGTGACAAAACTGACAGCTCAAATTTTGGCACTTCAAGTGCCTAGATGGGTGCCATGGTTGCAATGCAATAGCTCCCAACCATACCACCTTGAACAGTGAAATTGTGAGCTTGGGCAGCCTCACCATAGGTTAGCAGACAAGGTAATAGCTACATTGTACCCAAAATGATCAGTTACGTCCCATGACTTGAATCATTACAGTTCACTTTGTGCCATTTTGACCTAGCAAGGATTCCATGTCTGAACAACACCATCTTGACACTGACTTAACACTTTTGAGAGCTTTGTGTTGTATTTGCCAACATTGAACATATTTTAGAAAAATGCTTGCTTAAATGTGCCACTATACTAATATACTGTCAGTTCTAATATACCAACAATGTCTGCACCAGCAATGATCACTACAATATAAGCTGGAGGTTTCCAAGGTTCAAAGTCCGTTGCAGCACTTCACCGAAGCAAACTTATCGGACAAGGCTTATGAATCACACTCACTTCCCGTTGTTTCCCTTGAACCACTCTGACGCAATGAGGCACATAGAACAAGACAATACAGGTAAAAGTCGAGAATCACACCAAATCGAAAACAACATAGCCAAATAGATGAACAGCGGCCTTTCTCAGGCACTCCTCAGACCTTAATGAAGCAGGTGCGCGCCCCCACTTACACTCCTCCACCACCTGTCTCCAGACCGCGACCGCACAAATCCCACACGCCCCAGCAACAACAAACGAAAAGAAACAATCAGCTGACTTACCTTCGCTGCCTTGCTAGAAATCCACTAACCTACTGCTCTATATATTAAAGTACTGCCAAATGTACCTAGGTTGTAGTTTAAACGACCGTGACCAGGGTCCGGCACATTTTGGCCTCTAGCGTATGTTATACGACGAAACGGACAAGAATTCACCTATGGATGTAGGTCACTGATGGTGTTAGTTCAATGCAAAACTCAATGATTGAGACCTTCTGGGGTATGCAGCATTGGCCACGGGCGTCGCTTTGTATTCTTTTGTGAGGGCCATGGACCCCCAGTGGTGAGTAAGGTCCTCAACGTTAGAAAACGAAGGTAGAAGATGGCCACTACACACTGAATATTATTGATCTTTCTGCGTAGTGGTGTAGACATGGAAGATGCAGGAGAGCAGCTTGATACCCTCAACTTCAAAATTATTTCCTCAAATGATGGGTAACTTCGGGTAATGTGTGCTTAACCAGTTTAACAAAGACGTATTTTGCCAACACACATAACATCATACACTTATTCCGTAGTGTAAACGCGACATTGACGGGACCGATTCACTGGTCTCGTGGATATGTTTTGCCAAGCGTCATTTTGTCTGCTTCCTATGAAAGGCTGCAGGACTAGCAATGTTTTACTTGAAACCCAACTTTCTTTACTGTCTCATGAGAAAATAATAAAAAAAACCCAGCAGAGTGGTAGTTTTGGCGCGGTATCGTTGCTTCAGAATATAGGCTCAGCCATTCCATGGATATATAATCCACACAACAGAAACAAATTATGTTCGGACATACTTTGACTCGGATTCCGTGCTGCAAATAATTTGTTGCTATCACTCCGAACCACTAACCAATTATTGTAATGAAGGTTTCACGGAGCCATTCTGCCTCGGGCCCTTATCGGAATAGCACGAAGAAAGTTTTTCCGTGTCATGCACTCATGCGACTCTCACCGCCCTGTGGTCAGCCTGACGTGTCAAGTCAGCAGCCAAATGGTCCTCCTCGGCGACATACATACGAACGTTTGTTCTGGAAGGCAAACACTCCACTACGCGTTTCGCCACGTTACGAACGTGGTCAGTGTAACTTCATTTGAGCCCAGCTCTACCAAAGTTGGGCTTCGGCAACAGCGATTGTTGTGTCTTTGCGGCGATATAGTTTTTGCAAGCATTTTGCACGTTGCAGCCGACGGGACTGTAGAAAAGCGATGCCTGTTAACTGCTACATCACTCCATTTTTTCCAAAGATATCACCTGTGACGTTGAAATCAGCCATGAACAGTTGAACTCAGACAAATACATGTCGTCATTAATCATAACGTTGCTGTTGTTTCTATACATTTTTCCACCTGCACTTGCCCTACACGTTTTGCGGCAAAAGTATAGGAAAGTTTGAGCATTATCTGCAATCCTGTGGTCACTATATTTTAGGATGTGTAGCTGCATTCTTGTACAATTTCCAGGTTCACGGATTTGGGTTTAAATTAAACTTTCAGACCGCAAAGGAGAAGCGCATTACCATGTGCAGCAGAAAATGTTATAATTTAATGGTGCACAATCGTCCGCATTTCAGTGGCACTTATTGGGTAGATTGGTTTGTCACTGCTTTGTTATGCTGAGGGAGAGCTAGTCCACATAACATTATGATGGCTTACAAAGTATGGTGTACGTCCATTTCATGAACATTTACGCACGCCTCAGATGCGCAACAACGATTTAACACGCACACGTGTGGCCGGCTGCTTGCGACGCGCTCGATGGAGGGGGAGGGGGGATCAGTATGGCCCCTGAGATAAAACAAAACAAGAGAATCACAAACGCTAAATTCACAAGGTAGAAAGGCTTGTGTATGAACCTGCTTGTCAAATCTTGAGATAGACTTGGTCAAAAAACCTGCTAACCTTTGGAACAAACGAGTTCAAGTTCCAGGTCGGAATCCGAAGTGCTTCCAGATCTTCTCATGTAACCGCCTTAACCTTAGGCGCCTGTTCTAAGCAAAATTTCACTGGTGTTCCTTTCAGTTCACACGGGCTGGAGTGGTTGCGCCACACCACTCCGAAAAAAGCGGTTGATATCGGCCATTTTAGCTCAGTGACCTTTGTTGGCCTGTGAGAAGTCCAAATAAGACGTCTGTTGACATGCCTGTGATCAAGAAATTTGAGACGATCAAAAAATATCACTTAAAGCACGTTCTTTAGCGAAAAAAGCATCTTGGTTTTAACCTCGGTCCGACCTTCATACTGACCCAAGTTCAATGGCGTTAGTCGTTATCCTAACCTCAGTTGGCTAATTGTCTAAAAAATGTATCTCAGAGTTTTATGGCTTCGTTTGATACGCGCTCCGATGAGGGTCAAACTGGCCCCCTGAAGGATTTTCTAGAATGGTTTCCGAGCAGCGCGGCACAGCCGCGCCAAATTTTGCATAGCTGTAGACAATTGAATGGCGGATCGTTTGGCATAAGAAACTTAGATGCAACTGGTAAGGTCGCTGGCCTTTGGCAGGTCAAACTCAGGCTATGGTTTCGGGGAAGTCAATTTCTAGAGAATCGTTTAATGTGATACAACAACGGATGATTGGACGGAGCCGCACATCTCTGAGATGCTTTCTTA